TCATTACCAGGTTCCACATTCCTAGCTCTAACCATCCGTCGGTTATTTCTATCAATCGGAAAACTAAACAGAGATCTGGCGAAGATGTCATTTGTTCTCTTACATTATACAAAACAATTGCTTAAACAGAAGTTGTGTATTTAGGAAGATACATTAATCACACAAAGGAGGCACGCGGTAACGTAGTTGGTTGAGGCACTATGCTACAAACCGGAAGATCGCGGGTTCGGGTCCCTATGAAGTGAGCATATTCAATTGACTTAACCCTTCCAGCGGAACTACGAACCTGGGGGTGACTCAGCGTCTAAGAGAAATGAGTACCAGGAATCTTCCTGGGGGCGATGGATGGTAGGACTACTTACAGGACACTGTCACCTTAAAGGACCTCTTGAAAGTGGGACTAAGTGATAGTACCAGGCTGCGCCATAGCTCAAGCGGTTAGTCGCTGGCTTCCCACCATGGAGGCACGTATTCGATTCCGGGTCTGGTCAAGTTGGATTTGTGGTGGACAAAGTGGCGCTGGGGCAGGTTTTCTCCGAGTACTTCGGTTTCCCCCTGCCAATCTTCATTCCACCAATTGCTCCACAATCACCCTCACCTATCATCTGGGGCTGATACAATAGGCCAGAAATGGCCGCAGTACAAGGGACTTAGTCCCACCCCACTAGCAATAAAAAAAGTGATAGTCCCATTTGTGAGAGGTGTCAAGAAGAAAATGAAACAGCCTCACATATCCTGTGTGAATGTGAGGCCTTAGCTTATTTAAGACTACGTCACTTGAGTCAATATATGGAACCAAGCGACTATTTCGACGTCTCCACGTACAAAATCCTACGCTTCATTCAGAAGCGCAGGATTGCTGAGGGGATAATCAGAAGGGGAGGTACAATGGATCACTCTGGTCGCGGTGCAAGGGCCAAGAAGGCCCAACCCTTATACATTCATTCATTCATTCATTCATTCATTCATTCATTCAATCTTCCTGGGGGTAAATAACGGCCGGCGCGTAAGGCTGACAACCTGACCGCCATCTGTGAGCTGATGGTCTAGAGAACGTGGTAACCTCGACGTCTCACACCCGTATGGGCCTTCACGGCCTGTTACAGGGGTAGCTTTACCTTTTTATCGTACATATTTCACAACCATGGAAGAGAAGGAGTAATGCATTTTCATGTTATTACCGATTGTAGAAAATTAGAAGTGCGAAGCTGGGATGGTCTCTAATTGTGTAACATCCATCCTAAATTTCGTTAAAATCGGTCAACTCTGTCAACAGTTGAAATAAGAGGACACACAGACAACCGCACAGACAGCATGATGATATCATAAGCTGATTTCCTTTCCCTAACAGCCAACGATTCAGGGAACATATTGCATCCGTCTTCAGGGCAGAAAAGTAAGCCAAGCAAAGAAACAGCAGGAAGAAGTCTGCGAGTCGTGCTAGACCTGTTGTCTGCTTCGTGCTTGTTTCTTGCCTGGCTTCCTCTTGATTCCTGAAGATGGAGGCGATATGTTCCTCTGTAACGTGAGTTTGCTTTCACCGGAATTTAATGCATTATATCCCAGCAGATGGACGTTTTCGACGTATAACTAGCTTATCCTGAGATTCATTTCTCCAACCGCTTAACGAACATACAAAGGTTATGAAGACTGCTTTCTTCATAGTCACCGCCGTGAAAGCCTCAAATCTTATATACAAAGGTTAGTTACCCGAATCGGTTATTAAACGCACTATGACGACTTAAAGAAGTCTCAGAGGAATTCTCTCCCCACCCCTCTCTCCATATTCTGTGCAATATATTGAAGAATGTGAAGATATCAACCAAATCACCAAGGAACAGCAAAGTAAACTGTTCACAGTTAATCTTTCCATCGGCGTAAATACTTCCAAATATACATGAATTCAATACTCACACACTCAGTTGGCCGCTCCGTAGCTCAAGCGGTTAGTCGCTGGCTTGCCACCGCGGCGGCCCGGTTTCGATCCCGGGTCTGGTCAAGTAGGATTTGTGGTGGACAAAGTGGCGCTGGGGCGTGTTTTCTCCGAGTACTTCGGTTACCCNTAGCCTGTATAGTAATTATCAAGTTTCTGGTCCTCACAGCGCACTTAAAACATTAGACTTTTTCTTTACTTCGCATCAGAATTAGAATATAAAAATAAATTTATAATAAAAACTACGCCCAATTTAAATTATACCACGTACTGTGCAGAAATATAAAATCTTGTCGTGAACCAGAAAGAGATAAATTTTTGTTACAAATATCTGTTTAAATAGTTTATGTAAGTGCATTGGTTTCTCAGACTTTACATTACGGTGCCCCGTCAGCTCAGCAGATGCTGTCAACAAATGGGATACGGAAGCATTCATGTGAACCATCTTCTGGGGCGAGGTACCACCACAACCACCCCTGTTCTAACAGCAGCAGTAACCGCTGCAAATATTCTTACTAACTATGCTTGCAAGTTTCAGATATCAATTTATTTTTATGCTTCAACAAATTAGTAAAATATAAGTAATTACAAGTAATAATGTGATTATTAATAATTAATGTTTCAATTTGCCTCTGTGATCTAGTGGTCAGAGTTCCTGCCTACAGGTCCAGAAGTCCAGGTTCGATTCCCTGCGCTACCAGATTTTCTGAGAAATAGTGGGTCTGGAACGGGATCCACTCAGCCTTGTGAGGATAATTGAGGAGCTATTTCAAGGAAATAGCGGCTCCGGTCTAGAAACCCGTGATAAACG